AAGTGTTATTGTCCATAGCAGAGATATGATCTAATAATAATGCTGACAAAGTGACTGAGTGAAATGGTAGTTGGGGAAGGGTCCACAGCTTCACAGCTTGTTCAGAAGCCTGACAGCCTGAGGGTAGAAACTGTTCATTAACCGGGTTGTTCTAGCCTGTATGCTGTGAAATCTCCTGCCTGATGGCAGGATGGTGAACAGGCTGTGTGCTGGGTGACTGCTGTCTGACCGGATTTTTTAAATTTTCCTGGGGCAGCGGGACTGGTAGATGTCCTGTAAGGCTGGTAGTTTGTTGCCTATGATGGCTTCTGCCATCCTCACCCCTCCTTTAAGAGCCTTGCAGTTGCAGGCAGTGTAGCTGCTGTACCAGACAGTGATGCAGTCTGTGAGGATGCTGTGAGGGTGCATCTGTAGAAGTTGGTGAGGATCTGAGGAGGCAGACCAAACTTCCTGAGCCTACGCAGGAAGAAGAGACGCTGACGGGCAGATCTCACAAAAGTGTTGGTGTGGAGGGACCAGGTGAGGTCATCAGTGAGGTGTGCGCCGAGAAACTTCACACTGCTGACTCTCTCCACTTCGGCTCCATTGATGAATAGGGGAGAGTGACCACCCCTCTGCTGCTTCCTGTAGTGCACAATCATCTCCTTTGTTTTGCTGAAGTTGAGACAGAGATTGCTGTCATGGCACCACTCTGACAGAACGCTGACCTTGTCTCTGTAGGCTCTGTAGGTTTCATCTCCATCAGTGATGAGGCCTAAAGACAATTACAGAGTTTTTAGTCACAGACTATGATTTTGCAAAGATCCCCAGGATCTTTCAGAGTCACTATTTGCAAGACTGCAACTAGATTTTGAGATTATTTCCCATCATGCACCTGGTGGAAATTTACAAGCAAAGAAACACTTTTCCTTCTCCACTCTATAGTGGTACAAATGGGAAGATACAGTGGAGGAAATAAGTATTTGATCCCCCACTGACTTTAAAAGTTTTAATACAAAAAAATAAATTAAACGTCTCATAATTTTATGCCAGCTTTACACATAGAATATCAAAAGAAAAACTGAGAAAATTACATGAAATGAGAAATAAAAATTCATTTAAATTTCATTGAAGGAAATAAGTATTTGACCCCCTAGTAAAACATAATTTAATACTTGGTGGCAAAACCCTTGTTGGCAAGCACAGCAGTTAGACGTTTCTTGTAGTTTTTTATAAGGTTTGCACACACTTCAGGAGTAATTTTGGACCACTCCTCTCTGCAGATCATCTCCAAATCCTTAAGGTTTTTAGGCATGCATTTGGAAACGGGAAGCTTCAGCTCTCTCCATAGATTTTCTATGGGATTGAGGTCAGGAGACTGGCTAGGCCATTCCATGACCTTGATATGCTTCTTATGGAGCCACTCCTTTGTTTCCTTGGCTGTATGTTTTGGGTCGTTGTCGTGCTGGAAGACCCATCCACGACCCATTTTCAGTGCCCTGGTGGAGGCAGGGAGGTTGTCACCCAGGATTTTGCGATACATGGCCCCGTTCATCTTCCCGTCAATGCGGTGAAGTTGGCCTGTGCCCTTAGAAGAAAAACACCCCCAAAACATAACACTTCCACCACCATGCTTGACGGTGGGGATGGTGTTCTTAGGGTCATATTCTGTATTTTTCTTCCTCCAAACACGTCGAGTTGAGTTGAGGCCAAAGAGCTCAATTTTGGTCTCATCTGACCACAGCACCTTCTCCCAGTCTCTCTCGGAGTCATTAATATGTTCATTGGCAAACTTGAGGCGGGCCTGGACGTGAGCCTTCTTGAGCAGAGGAACCTGGCGTGCACTGCTGGATTTTAAACCATTACGTCTCAATGTATTACCAATGGTTTTTTTGGAGACTGTGGTCCCAGCTGCCTTAAGATCATTAACCAGCTCCTCCCGTGTAGTTCTTGGCTGATTTTTAGCCTTTCTCATGATCAATGAGACTCCACGAGGCGATATCTTGCATGGAGCTCCAGGCCTAGGTCGATTGACAGTAATGTTGTACTTCTTCCACTTCCGAATAATTGCACCAACAGTTGTCACCTTCTCATCCAGCTTCTTACGTATGGCTTTGTAGCCCATTCCAGCCTTGTATACGTCAACAATTTTGTCCCTGACATCTTTAGACAGCTCTTTAGTCTTGCCCATGGTGGAGATGTTGGAGTGTCACTGAGTCTGTTGGCAGGTGGCCTTTTATACAGGTGACAATTTGGGACAGGTGTCTCTCATGCAGGTAACGACTTCACTGAGATTAGGGTGTGTCAGTGGTCTGTGGGAGCCAACATTAGTCATGGGTTTTAGGGGATCAAATACTTATTTCCCTCAATGAAATGCAAATTATTTTTTATTTAAATATTATTTACTTTTCTAGATTTTCTTTTTGATATTCCATCTCTCACTGTTAAAATGAAGCTACCATAAAAACCATAGACTGTTTAATTATTTGTCAGAGTACAAACTTTCAAAATCAGTGGGGGATCAAATACTTATTTCCTCCACTGTATGTTGGCTCAGCATGTAAAGATCTGGGGTTCAGCACAGTTCACTGTAGAATTGTATATTCTGGCAGATCATCACCCAGATTTTTTTTTTGTTTATTAACCTGTAAAGTGTGCAGTTACTTTTTATTTAACATAAAGATTTACACATCAGTAATGACACTTTTTAAGTTCTCTGCACATTTTTTACATTACTGTTACAGGCTCAGTGAACCTGAAATATTTAAACAGAGCATGCGTGAGTGCCTGAAATCTGTAAGGCAAATATGCTCAACTTTAAAACAGTACAAAAAATTAAGCTGGCTGTTTTAATATTTCAAGTTCAATGAGCCTGTAACACTGATGTAAGGTAATGTGCACTCTGTTAAAGTGGTTTCTTGTTTTGTTTGTCAGTTTTTATGGTTTAGTTCATAATATCCCATAAACAATGCTGAATCGCTGCATGTTTTGTTGATTTGTAAATCTTTGTTAAATAAAAAAACAACTGCACATTTTACAGGCTAATTAAAAAGATTCTGGGTGATGATCTGCCAGAGTATACAGTTCTACAGTAAACTGGACTGAGCCCCAGATCTTTACATGCCCAGCTAACGTATCTTTCCATTTGTACTACTATAGAGTGAACAAGGAAAAATGGTTTCTCTGATTGTAAATTTCCACCAGGTGCAAGATGGGAAGTACTCTCAAAAATCTAGTTGCAGTCTTGCAAATAGTGATCCTTCAATATCCCTAGTCTTTGCAAAATCATAGTCGGTGACTAAAAACTCTGTGATTGTCTTTAGGTGTAGGAGAGTGTCAGTCTTTTTAAAGTCTTCTAGTGTATGGTTAGCATAAGAAAGGGAGAATGGAGATCTGTAATTGAAAAGTAAGAAAGGTTTCTTAAATATGGGTGTAACCATAGCAGGAGACTGTTGATAACAGTAGATACTGTAGATGAATTGACAGAAATAAAAGCAGAACGATAACTGTCAGCATTCTGAGGATAAATAACTGAACAGGGGACCTGGAAGCAGATGAAGTGGGAGGTTGAAGAAGTTTATTTTGCAACCACTTGGTTATCATAGCAATCACCTTGCAACACCCTAGCAACTACTTTGTATACCATAGCAATAATCTAGCAACTGCCTGGAATACCACAGCAACCACCTAGCAACATCTTAGCCACCACCTGTGATTTCATAGCAACCACCTAACAAAACACTAGCAATACAGGGAAACTGCTTATGCTGCACATTCACTCTGTATTTTCTTCAGGAACTGCAATTTTGTAGTCTAAACTTCTTTTTTGATTCAGCAGATACAGTCATATACAAAAGTTGAACACCCTGGTCAAATTAACACATCCTCAGGGAACAAGGAACAAACTTAATTATGATATTTTTCTGCACATTTTAGTGCACATTTATTTATTCTACTTACTAGTTTAACCTTGCTAAGTTGAAAAAAGTACAACACAAAATATAAAATTCATGTGTGTGTGGTTAAATGTACCAAATACAATCAATAGTAGGTAATTCATTTACATTCCTCTGCTTGAAGATGATGTCCAAAACACAGGCGACATTACAAAATGTTTTTTGTGTGCCAATTCCATAGTTCTACCATGACCTCCAAATCCTCAAAACTTGCATAGTGCAACTTTAATGTTTATGCACTATATCAAACTTTTTTAATTCAACAAAGTGAGGATAACTAATTTTTTTCCACAGAAACAAGAAAATAATCATTGGATTCATTGATCAATAAAAAAGTCAACACATTTATTGACTGTAGAAACAGATACTCAAATTACATATTTAATACAGCTCTAATATGACTTTAGTAGCAAGATAAAGAGTAGTAAGATTACTTTTTTCCAGGAATAGTTTGAGGTACTACATTAGGTTGTGTTTGCCTAGTAGACAGTAACTTTGCCTCTTTTGTTGACTTGCTTCTTATATGTTATCAATAAAGTATATTTGGCAGTGTTAAATGGTAAATGATAATTGAAGAGTTCCATTTCATTCAGTTTAAACATGAAAATAGTTTCATACTTGCTAGAACTTTAACAATATTAAAGTCTAGATAATGTGTATCTCTTAAATTATGTCTATTAAAGTACAGTTCAGTTCAAATGAACTTTATTGTCATTAGACTAGAACAGCATGAAGGTTTTCTTACTGCTTTCCCTGATTTCATTGGAGAAGAAAATACAATAGGTTTATATGTTTATGTAATATATTATGTAATATGTAATAAGTTTTTAAATAACAGTTTGCCATATTTGGGCAAGGTTTGGTAGCTAAAGAGCAATGCATTATAGCTAGAGTGATATACCTGTCCATGCAACTGGAATGTTTTTGTCAAGAGCCAAAGGATATGTTTGGAGGTTGTGGGTTTTTCCCTTTCGGGTCCAATGTGACCTTCGCACTTGGCAACCTATTTACTAAGCCAGTTGTCCAGTTCCCATTTTGGCTCTGTGACTCACTGGCTGTTCAGAGAGACATTTAATTATAGGCATGGTGGCATTCCGGAAGAAGAGCGATGAGAGAGAAACAAGGGAGGGAGTGAGATAAGAGGGAGCTATGTCTGATAAAGATATTAGCCTGGCTTGTCAGACTCATATGCTAACAGTAACATAAAGTAATTTGTGTTCTGCTCAGAGGAAATTGAACAGAAACAGGATAAAGACATGTTGAAAGAAGAAGTTTCTACTAGTTTTGTGAATGACGATGTGTAAACCTTCTCTCAACCAGAGTGAAAAGACGAGCATAGACCAGGAGGACTGGCGTGTTTTTGAGAGCGCCTAGAAAGTAGATCCACAACTCCCTCTGACTGGGCATCTATGTGACTCAGTGTCAGAAACACTTTTAAAGGATATTATTACTCTGAAGAGCCTCACCACATTTAGCACAACAGAACAACAAGAAGCTGACAGAGCAAAGGAAATGACTAACCAAACTCTGGCTCATCTCAAAGATTCTCCAAACATGTCTGAAAATTCAATGGAAGACAACTTTCTTGACAACAATGGTATCTTGTCCGCATCTCGCAGAGAGAGTGGGATTGTAAGCAAGGAAAAAGGAATAGTGGGCAACAAAGAGATACTTGAAAGTAAGACTGATAACCCTCTTCTTGAAACAGCCATGAATGGATCACAGAACAAGGAAAGCAGTTTAGGCAAAGGTACAGCCAAAACATTGTGCTTTACTGCTTATCCACCGGAATTAGATCAGAAATGCTCGTCAAGGAAATACAGCTGCTCAAAACAGGTCATTGAGCTGAAGGACATTGGGACATTTCATTCAGACTTGAACTTAAATGATCTTCTGACTGACCCCTTTAACATGGCATCTACCAACCAGGACGTAACCAGGCTCAAACATGGAAAGGACATTTTGACACTTATGGAAAAATGCTCAACCGCTGTCCCATTTGGGAATTTAGCTAAGCTGGGGGCTAAAAAAGTTGTTACAGCAGAACCTCCTACAGCCAAAGTGGGAGTGTCTAGAGCACTATTACTGAGTGTGAAAAGAGACTGTGGACCAGTTTATCAAACAGCTTTATCCTGTCCTTTAGTAGAGATTAAGATAGCACCTGACAAGAACCTAACTGAAAAAAGCAGTGTTTCACCACTGCATGAGATATTAGTTAGCGGTAGTGTAGATTCACATGTTGGAGCAAGAGAGTCATCCATAATAAGAAGACTCGAGTCAAATGGCCAGGCTGATGAGACCAAAGCAGGTAAGACTGCCAGAGAAACCTAAAAGCAACAAAAACGGATGTTCCTTAATTTAACCCTTAAATGCAGGAATGTTTTGCCGTCACTGTCAGCACTATGTCTAACATAAATTCATCAGTAAATTGCAATAATAAAACTGTCAGAAACATTAAACATTAAACATTATACATTATATTACAGAAACATAAACATTATATTTGTATATTTTTGTCACTTATCTAACAGATTATTCTTTCTGTGTGCATAGCAACTATATAACCATTTTACATAAAACAATTAGAATGTTGTTTTTAACCATTTAGTTCTTTTTTTGCAAATTATTCAAAATAAAAAGGCTTAGAAATATTTAGGAAAAATGTACAAGATAAACTGGAGGCAATCAGTCATGAGACATGTCTAAACAGTTAGTGAAACAAATCTGCAATTAAAGAATAAATGAAAGCAAAAAAAAAACGTGTTGTCATTTACTCCAAATTTGTTTTCTTCTCAGATGGTGTTGATGAGAGAGACACCCTGACACCCTCTTTGCAACGTGAAAAACAGCCTCACTATTTCACTGCTGTAGTCACGTCACCACAGCAGATTCACAATACACCTGAAAAAGGGACCAGAAAGTCTACTGATATGTCCTATTTGTTTGTGCCACAAACTGAAATCCAGAGTATGAGCTCAGATCTCTTGGCTTCTGATATGCCGGCAGAAAAAACAACTAAAATTAAAGGACCACCACCACCTGTTCCAAAGAAGCCAAAGAACCGATTTAGTAAGGTTGTAAAGACTTCACATGCAATAGATGAGCCCAGACAATATTCTGAGCTTCTTCTACAAAATATCAAAATGGGAAGAAGAGAGGCAGCAATAGAGTCTGTTACTGAAGACTTAGACGAGTACCCACTCAATATTTCATTCTGTCCAGGCACACCAGATTCACTATCCTACATGTGCATGTTAGGATGTTTTAATCCAAAAGCAGATGTTCCTCTAGATTTTTGTAATGAAAGAGTCACACCTGGTATGGCCCTTTGGACAAAAACAGTTGATGTCGCCCCTGAAAAAGAACCAGGAAGACTGGACATATCTCAGGTGAGACACGTCTTAGAAAAGAAAGCAAAAATAAAAGGCCCTCCACCACCCATCCCAAAAAAGCCTCTAAATGCATTTGCTCCCATGACAGGGAAGGTTCTGCCAATCACAGACTCCATTTCAGAAGGTACGGCTTGTTATTTAAAAGATGACATGTGTGATTCCAAGCCATATATAGAGAAAACTATGGCTGAAGAGGAACCTAAACTGTCTTCAGTCACAAACAGAAATAATGTTCCAGCTGCATATAGTACTCTAAGCAGTGACTCATGTACCTCAGATGGAAATGGCCTATCCAGATATAGACCTGTCTCTGAACTCGTGAGAGAAACCAACCAGTTACATGAAAAAATTATATGGTGTGGCAGCAAAGCAAATGCAACAACATCCAGGACTGATGCTGGAAGCCAGACTGTTAAAGTACGTCAAATGACAAAAACATTTGATGTCAAAAAACCATCTGCAACTAAAGTGGAAAGGAAACAATTACCAAAAAAAGGTAAGTTCAACTTTTAGTACTTTTTCTGCTCCTAATAATTGACAGACCTGTATATCTGACTGTAGCTTGAAAACCTTAGTTTTATTTATAATGCCAATGACTGCCATGTGGTTGAGCAAATCAAGCAGAAAATTTGTCATACAAACATACATTAGAAGGTGTTGTACCTGGAAGCTGTGGATGAAGCTGGTCTTTCTTCCTTCATATCCATCAGCTATAATATGTAGAACGAGGTTAAACACTTCCTGCATACTGTGAGATGATGTTTGGGCTGGAGTGATGGTCATTTATGAGGAGGGGAGGGGAGCGCAGGAGAAAAGGGCGTTGCTCTTCTTTTTCATTCACAAAGAAGACGAGGGAGCTTTGTGACTGACTAGCAGCAGTCGATAGAAGGGACTTTCGACAACAAATGTTTTGAAATTAACGTTTTGGAACAAGTACATAATAGAAGAGGTAAGAAACATCATGGTGGGTTTTTTTGTGTCTTCTGTCAAGTCAGCGGCGAGGCAGTGCTAGCTCGTTTTAGCAGGCATCAGTGATTCACAGTGATATGAACACGAATAGCATAGGCTAAGCTGCAGTTAAAAAGTATTTCACGTTACTCTTCTCTGTGGTGGTTTTGTGCATTTTCCGTGCACATTTGCGTTATTGACTATATATTCCCGCGCATTAAATGAAAGTTGTGCCCCATCACTACAATGCCGGGGTAGGAAGGTAGCTAGCAACGTTAGCTAACCTAGCTAACCAGCTTGCAGTCTCGCGTTAAATCAAAGAAAAGCAGTGCTAATTTATGTGGTATCAGCTAACAACTGGACACGGAAATGGCAAAGTGATAAGCTGAATTAGCCACTGAAAACATTTGTTTCCATTTATCAGTTATTAGAAAACACTGAAATTCCATGTAAATGAAATCATGCATCCATTCATTTGTTCTTAGCCTACAGTTAGCTGGCTAACGTAGCTCTTATTTACACACACCCAGCTGATACATCAGTAGTGCAGTCTACTGGGTTTTTGTAAGACTTATTTTTGCAGTTTTCCCTTGTGTAACCTGTACGAACAGTTTTGAATATTTTCCTTGCCAACACGTATTCATGTGTTCAGTGGGATCGGCCAAAAAGTGCCATCAAATTTTTACAATGATTTTTTTTATTTGTGTTTTCCCCAGAATGCGCATCCCCGTGTAGGAGCCATCATGAAACCCAGCTGCGAGCATAGGCTGGTTAACAGATTCAAAGTGAGCCGTGGAAAGTACCCACTTCCAGGCTTTACTCACGCAGAATAACCGCAGTAGGATAGTGGTCATGGTGGAAAAAACAGAATTTTCCTTTCCAACATATAGTAAATATATTCAGAAAGCCGCGTTAGTAGGCCTGCACTGTATCACTTCAGATACGCTTAGGACGTGGTTGTTACTGAACGTGCTGCAGCGTTTTGTAAGAGATGATGGGGGCATCTGTTACAGTGACATCTGTGCATTTTACTGTTATGGGATGCAGTGGCCCAAGGAGTCCATGGTTGGGGTTGGAAAACTTGTTTTCTTTTAGCTAAGTAAAAATGATTATTTTGAAAATATATGCAGATATTTGAAGAAGGTCAGTGAATGATGATTTATATCAGTCGCAAATTGGATGTGTATACTATAATTACTGTAAAAATTTGAGCTGCCTGTTTTGGTCATTTCATTGGCGAGGTTCTCACGGCACTTTTCACATGGAGTCACTAGAATGACGTCATGGTTGTGTTTAAGTTCAGGTTCTGCTCATTGTTTTAGTTTGGTGATACCTAGATTGAGATAAGCATGCAAGTTAGAGAATTTAAAAAGGCTAAAAAAAACTGCTGTATCTATAAATTGTCATATCCGGACCCTAATCTCTGTAAAATGTAATGCTGATTTTATGCAATTAAATAGGTTCACCTTCAGCATGCTTTTTGTCTTCTTGTCATATTCCTATAACATTCATAATTAGACGTAGGCCTATATTTCTCGAGATTGTACCTTTTTGTAAGTTCATAAGAGTTTTTTAATCACTGAGTGATAACAGAATAACAGTTTAAATAACAGAATATACTGTTAAATAGCACTGTTTTGAAGTATGTAACCAACTTCTTTACATAGCGGCGTCAGTTAAAACACAGTTACAATAAAGTCTCCCAAAGTAAACAATAACCAAACTATTCCCCATATATGAATTAAAAATGGTTTCAATTTTTATTCAAATATATACTATATATTTCATTTAAAATAATCTTTTCTGTTTTATAGTGCTGATATTTAGTATAGTGTTTTGTGCTCAGAAATAAATTTACCAGCATGATACAACCTTTTTTACTAATCATATTTATTTTGATGCATTAAGTATTGAGGTTGGAAAGTTTATTTCATTCAGAAAATATATACTTTTTTTTAATGAATTGTGAATGTGTTCCTAGAAATTGTTACATCTAACCCTAGTCTTTAACAAAGGCGGTAAGTTGTAATATTTGCACGCCAATTTTGTGCTGAATTGTACCTTGTACTATCGAACAGTATGTGTTTAAAACAAAGTATTCTTTTAAAATATAGTATAAAAATATTAGTTACTCTACTATTTTAAAAATGACTTAGCCAAAAACAAATGAAACTGAACACACATACACACCTTAAAACTGTGCAACAGATGTAAATGATGCTCGTTAGGTTGCAGTCCATAATGATACTAATCAGTCTGCCAATCAATCTCTCTAGCATTTCCTTTACTGGAGTATAAAAGTATCCGTCTGCAAAATGTTTGATCTTTTTACACGTTTAATGCAGTAGTGCATTCAAAACGGTGCCACTGCATTGAGGTCTGCTCTCATGTGGATTATTAGGGAAAACTTAATAAAAACATGGTTATTAAGCAATATTTGATGCAGTTATGAATTGCTGTTAAAAGTGATTAGTACTTTTTGTAACACAGGTAACATCATTCTTGTTAGCCGGTGCGACACTTTCAAAATGTTCATACAACTTGCATTGTACGCACATCAGTTTCTTGTCTCATTTGTGGTCCTCTGCTGTTAGTAGAAAATGCTATAGTTTGATGCAGCTGGCATTCTTGTGAATGAAAAGCACTAGCTATGGCCTTTCATTGTTCAAAGTGGTTGGGGCAAAAATCACACTTTTGTTTAGTGCATGATTAGGCTGACTGTTCAGTAATTAAATGTATGGTTCTCAGGATTATTACAGAACACTTCACAGTTCTAGAGTACAGTTCATTTTTGTGATAAATTGCTATGATTTCCATTCTATTAGTCAACATTGGAAAAAAAAGCCAATCTAAAGGCGGTGACTTTACACTTGACTGAAATCCTAAAATGAAGACTCATCCTGTGAAGATTTGAGAAGTCAACAGTTAACCTTAATGACCTTATTTTCTTACCCATCGCCTTCTTTGCACTGTTTTGTTTTTTGTTTTTTTAAGAGATGATCAGACGGGTGGTTCGGCAGAGCAAGTTCCGTCATGTGTTTGGCCAGGCGGTGAAGAATGATCAGTGCTATGATGACATCAGGGTCTCACGGGTCACCTGGGACAGTGCATTTTGCGCAGTTAACCCCAAATTCCTCGCCATCATTGTTGAGGCAAGCGGAGGTGGAGCCTTTCTCGTTCTGCCTCTGCAAAAGGTAACCAGTGTCACTAAACATGCAGTCTGATGTTTTTACACCTTAGGAGAAGAAACTCCATAAAAGTCACCTTTCCACAATCAAATGTAAAGTTTATTCAACACTCATCTACAGGAGAAAAAACATACTGATATTGGAAAAGAAGAACCCAAAAAACAAAAATGACATGAAAGATTTTAAGAAATACTGTTGGCTGACCGAAACACTGATGTGTATGCCCTATAATGGTACTTTAGGAAATGGAGCGAATTTAAATGGCTAAGTTCAGAAAGGGCCTTGATATTTTAAGTTATTTTAAAAAGTCGATATTTTATCTTCGTATACAAGGATATGGCTGGAAATGTGACCAAATTTTGATAATGTTGCGTGAGCAGCACTTAAACTGGTATTGACTGCAGGGTGACATGTCCATTTAATCAGCTTAAGCACTGCTTAATAAAAATAAAATAAGTACAAGAAAAGAAATACAAGAAAAAATAATTACAATTTCTAATTTTTATAATTCGTTCGTTGGATAGGTAGTTGGTTTTCAATGTTAGGATTCGAATATTCTTTTTTTTTTATCATTAAAGGCGTGCTGCAGAATACTGTAAAGGGGTCTCGGGAGAAACTTGGACAACTCAAGGTTACAGTCCATAACGCAGCTTTATTTTTAATTTTCTGAAAACAGCAGCAAAAGCAACAGAAAGAAACACAGACTCACAGACTCGGATGCAGATTTTGTGAACGAAAAATTGACACCCCCTGAAGCTTCAAATTGTAATTACTGTTGATTACTGGTGATGCGTCAGAGCCCAAAAAATGATATATGGGACAGTCCTACAGTTTTTCTAAAGCTTGCATGTTTTTAACTAGTATTTACCAGTATTTTTGTCTAACCTGCAAAGCTTTTATTTTCACAGACTGGTCGCATCGATAAGGCCTACCCTACTGTTTGTGGTCACACAGGCCCAGTGCTGGACATTGACTGGTGCCCACACAATGATCATGTGATTGCCAGTGGGTCCGAAGACTGCACTGTAATGGTATGAGCAGTTACTATTCATGACTTATTTGGCTGTA